TTTACAACGAATGCTCGAAAATAATCTTAAACTGATGCCTTAACGTTCAAAAAAGGATGAAATTTCGCTTCCACAAACTTTTCCAATTGCGCAATGTCCCTTCCTTTGTTTAGAAAAAGTGTCCGAATAAACCAGTCTATGAAAAATCAATATGTTTAAATTTACTTAGCACAAAAGTCATACGGAAATACACATCTTCACATGTCCACAAGCACTACTGTAATGTGATGATCCTTATTTCTGAACAGTGACGTCAATGTTAATAGGAGTATTGAAGATTATAGGTGCTGTAGAAAGTAACTCTTGTCGACTCTATCATGAGGAAAAGGAAACATCAGACCATATTCTATGCAACTGCGGGATACTAGTCCCAAATCAATTAGGTAAAATTAAGCCCCAGTAATCACAAGATTTATTAATAGTCTAAAATTGTTTTAGTTGGGCCTTTAAGCGCACAATAGATCTTTAAGGTTGGGGTACATTCATAGCTTATTATTTAATAAAATAATAGGAATATCTATCACGAAAAACTTTGGAATGAAACTTTGAAGACGTGGTCAACCAAACATAACGGTGATATAGAGTGGATGTTTCAACAAAATTCGGTGCCATTAGATAAGAAGCAATGTTCCATAACTAATTAGAATAGCCTAATGGCCTCCAGATGCAAATTCACTAAACTTTTCAAGATGGGACCTTTTCCTAAGTCCAGTATTAAGAAATACTAGGATATTGCTGTGCTCTGAAGTTTCTCTCTTTACGAATGAATTCCATAGATTCCAAAGATTTGGTAAGGGACATATTGTAGGCCCATGTTAACATAAAAAATAAAAGCTCGTTGATGTCTTGAAGAGATTTTTTCTTTGCATATTAATGAGGATTTCAAAAGTTCAAATTCTGACGGTGTGGACTCATTGATACATCGATTCAGAACCACATTTCGCAATAAGAATAGTTACTTCGAATATTCGATATGTTGTTTCAAAAAAAATCAATTTTAAATAAAAATACAGCTACTTTAAAATAGAAGTTCAATTGGGTCACTCTGTAGACTGAAAACTTTCTGTATTTTAATTATTGATTGTACATATCAAATTTTATTTATTTTTTATTTTGTTGATTTCTTTTAATTTTACATAACAGTTAAAATTAGAAAAAAATTCTGCAAATATCCATAAATCCAAAAAATGAAATCGAAAGTGATAAATATATGAAATTAAAAATAAAATTAACAAATTTACTTTATTTATAAAAATGATTAACAAGTAAATATAAAATTTTTTATATAATTGAGATCTTCATTAAATAAAAAAATTGTGGGAAAAATTTCACCAATTTAAAAACAAAAAAGATATTATTAATTTTTATTAATCTTTTGACAGTATCACTCGAAAAGGCTTGACCATTGTTAGATTCGACAAGAAAGAAAGAAAAAATCAGATACAACTTGTTATTGTGTAACTTTAAATACAATTAGTAAATTATAAAAAATATTAAATGCTTAAAGAGTGAAAATTATAATAATAATTTTTTTATCTAAGTAACTGAGTTATCATTAATGGTTCTTGAAATCTAAATGTTGAAAGTAAGCAAATTATAATAACATTTTGTTAATATTAGTAAATTGGTTACCATCAGTAGCTTTTAAGAGGCCTAACAACAGAATTACTCGACAATGTAAAATTGGTTATCATTAGTAGCTATTAAGAGGTCTAACAGCAGATTTACTCGTCAATGTAAAATAGTTCCATTAAATTAAAAATACGAAAATGTTGCAAAATGAAGATTTATAAGCTTGTACGTGTAATTTTATACAATCAAGAAAATATATTTATAAGTTCGAATTGATATTTTATTAATATTAATATATAAATCCAGAATGTTGCCAATAACCCTATTGTTCAATTAGTGGATCGGTTTACATTCCATGAACAAGCCCGATCACTACTCTCTTTAAAGTTTCGTCCTTCGCAAAGTAAGCGAAGCAAATGTGATGAGAAAGAGGATTAACATATATTATAAATAAATTTTTATTCTTAATATTTTTTCTAACACATTTTTAATTCATAAATTTCTGAGCAGGGAATAATAAAAGCTGGTTCTAGCTTGACCTTCTCTCAATTTTTTCTTCCATTATTATGAGTTTTTGTGGATTCAAAACGGATTTTTTAACTAACTCAGTAGTACTCGTTCCTCTCTCCACCACAACTAACTAAATACTACAAAAGATTTTTTAATCGTTTAATATTTATTCAAAAACTCCCGTGTTGATATAGAAATCAATGACAGAACAGGTACATATGCTGGAATAAAGTGTATCAGTGGTATCCTAATGAGTCGATCTATGCACTCAATAAATATCAAAATTTTAAAAGTTTAGTTTAGCTCAGTTTATTGTTTTCTTTCGAAGATATTTCGTGAAGAGTGCAATTACAAAAAATCTTATCTCTGTATCATCATACTGTATGAATCAGATGTGTGAATCAGATGCATCGCGATCTCATGATCATCAAACAAAGTGAACATTCAAAAAGCAAGAATGAAGTAACTATTTACCATTCTGACGAAACATTCTTGATCTGATGAACATTGTGAGATTAATATGTATTAAATATCTCAATTATTAATAAAAATAATTTGCATATTAAAAAGTTGTCAACAAAGTTAATAAGGCACGTGTCCACAGCTGACCAAAGCTACAATCAATTACTTTCAATCTTTGTTTTTTTTTTTTTGATTTTATTTTAATTTGACAAATTTTTTGATGTAATTTAAAAAGCTAACAAACTCTTCCAATTCCCATCATTATTAGTTAAGTGTGTTTTCTGTTTGTTGGGCTCACCGGAACTTGCTGCACCTTATGACGGCCTATAACAATAACCTAAACTGATTGACACACTAAATATTTCCTGTTGAAATAATAAAATATAGTAAAAGACAAATTAAAGATAATGAGAATAAGGCGTAACATGGTGAACCAGATAACCGACTTTACACACCAACCAACTATCTCAGTTAAGATTATTAAGTATGTTAATGAGTTGCATTGTAACTAATATACAATACTAAATGATTACTTATCAAAGGGAGTAATATTATTGTGTAACATATATGCAAACAAATAAATATCTCTGATACCATTTACACATCACTTAATTGTTATTAAGTAACGTAAAAGCGCAATGAAAGTGAACTTCAAGTATAATTTGTATCTCAAATAAAATTTGGTCCATTGGTCGGTTGGTCGATTTATGTCATCGTTAACAGAAAATATAAATAAAAATGTAACATCATCAATAATTCCAACGCCATTTCTATCACAAATTTAACCATTATTTTCCTAAGCAAAATTTACAATACAAAATCTATCTGAGTTATGCCTTTTATTACATAATTTTGTTTGTTATTGTTATTTGCGTATCTATCTTTTCTTCATTTATTTAATGCGCTTATTATGGAGCTTTATTTATTTTTATTTATTTTTTGAAATCATCATCAAATCACTTTCAGTTTTAGTTCGTTTTGTTTGATATTTCTTGCCTTATAACATTTTACTTAATATAATCGAACGTCCTCAACGGATTTTGACGTTACTCTTTGCTATGACTATTTGTTGTAGTTTTTACCTTTTATGAGATAATCTTTTATAATCGATTTAAATGCGAATTTCATGCAAATTTATTTAAAGTTTAGGCCAGGAAATGTTAGTTTTGTTATTGACTTTAACTTGATGAAATAATTTTCGTTGCTCAATGATATTTTAATTTCATTTTTTTGTTTAATTTTTTATTAGAAAAAATTTATTTAATGAGATAAAGTTTTATCGTGATCAGAACGTGCCTATTAAATTTACAAATTCTTCAACGCGTGTATTTATGATCATAATATTTGGGATAATATTATTTTTTCACAGAGTATTTTTACACTTTATACAGATCTACAGACATTTTTTAAATTTTTTGTAGTATTTTTAGCGCAGTTAGCTAGCACATTTCCCACAGAAATTTTTTTTACAAAATAAATTTATATTATTTTTTAGTTCAGTTTTATTTATTAAATTCTTTAGAGCTTTTAACAGATACTTTGACTTTTACAATTCATTTTTGACATTTTCAATGTATGGCTTAATTGTTATAGTTATAGAGTATCCTATTAATTTATGTGAAGGTCAAACTATGTTAAATAAGTTATCTAACATAAATTGATCTTAACATAAATTGTTAGGAGACACTACATAGTAACTAAATTAATCACATAGATACACATATATTACATATTCACTTCTTACTGTACTATAATACGCATGATATAAACGACTTCTATTAAAGTATATCAAGATTCGGTTAAGACACAAAATGAAATCGAAAAAAAGAATGGATCAACTTCCTTATAATAGCGATTATCTACAATAAGAACCCATATAAGTGAGATAATAGTTGATTGGCTTTGTGATCTCAAAACTACCTCTTCTGCTTAAGTAGCGTATACGAAAGTTGTTCGTGCTCGAAGCATTTCGAAACAATTGGTTCCT